TTTCTTCAATATTTAGAACAAGGGCTTAAGAATACAAACTACATACTAGATTTATCAAGGTGATCACTTTGTAAGTTATATAAATGTCTAATCACTCTGTTGTACACCCAAAACTAATATATCGTATGTCGTGTAATTGAAAAAAATTTTTAATTAAAAAAAGAGATTACAAACCATAGTTTCACTTGACACTACTGCTTTTAGTTTTTTTTTTAAGCTACTTCTTTTAAGCCCCTAATATATGCAAGACACTTTAGATGCTTTACATACATTATCACATTTGAGTCTTACAATAATCTATGAGGTAGGTGCTATTATTCCCGTTTTGCAGATGGGAACACCTCAGCTCACAGAAGTCATTTCCCTAAGGTCATACTGCTAGTTAAGTACAGAATCAGGAGTCCAATATAGATTTGATTCCCAAATGCTCTTCCTCTCTGTCTATAAACCTCTCAGACCTTTATTTGTTTTAAGACAAACTTTGAATGGAATCTCACATGCTCAATGCACCAATGGAAGAACACTACGATGGCTGGTGTCACACAGTCATAGGGATAGCACATTATTTTACCCTACTTTTCCACTGAATAACTGACTCTGCTAATATACTTTTCTAGAAATGTTATGAAATAAACTGAGCCCTTCCATGAAAATATGACCCCATATTCAAACGAAGCCTGATTATTAAATGTTTGAAACTAAATTAGCAATGAGGCTAATGCAATTCTAATATGAAAGATTCAGAGCTGTTTGAGAATTTGCAAAACTGTTCCCATTCCGTGAGCACTTATTCACTCACTCAACACATTCATTGAGCATCTACTATGTCAAACAGGCAGTCACTGTTCAGAGACCAGAGAACACAGTGATAAACAAGATAAATTCAGTAACGTCAATGAACTTATTCAAATGAGGAGCACAGAAACTAATAAGAGAACAGGGAAGCCACCTCTAAGAAGGGGACATTTTTATCAGAGATATAAATGAAAGGGAACGAGCCATGCAAATATCTGAGGGGGAAAACAGGAAAAAGAACATCAGAAAAAAGAGGGAATAAACAGCAAAGTTCTTGAAGGAGAAAGGGAGTTGACATGTCTGAGGCACAGCAGAAAGTTAATACTGCTAGAGGGGAAAACTAATACGAGGTGAGGAGAAAGAGATGGACACACCATATGTATCCTCGAAGGCTCAGTTAGCAGCTTTGGATTTTATTCTGAATATGAAGAGAAAACACTGAATTTTAAAAAGATTACTCTGGCAGCAAGAGAAATAACAGGAGAGGAGCTAGAGTAGAAGCAGCCAGATCAGTTAAGAGGTGACTGCAGTAGTCCCAGTGGGTGTGGTGGTGATGCCTTCTGATATTTGGGAGTCATCAGCATACATATGGTGTTTTAAGTCCTGGGACTGAGGAAATCACTGAGGAAGTGAGTAAACACACGGGAACAAATAAGCTCAGGGCTGAGCCCTGGAGCTTACCAATATATGTCAGTTTAGAAGAGGGAAAGCATCTTCATTTTCCCAGCACATACGAAATATATTTTGTGTTCAGATTTACCTCGTTTCTTTTTCTAAGTAACAGAGGTAACCGGGTACTTTAATTTGTTTCCATGCAGTCATATTTTTGACCACACAGAAAATAAAAATATGAGAAATGACAGAAATAAAAAATTTCTATTTACATGAGGCAGAAACTCTCAATGAATATGAAATCAAATCTTGCTACATTCAAGTTAAAGCTAATAATTTCTAAAAATAAGTTATTTCATCAAACTTGGGTCTGTAGCAAATAAAGGCCTAAAAGCCTAGAACCTGAAAATGCACATAAATTATACAAGGAGTTTTACTGTAACATGATCTGACCTGCATTTATTTAATTACTCACTACTATCGATATGTTAGAAACTTAAAATTAGGAAGTATAAAACTATGTGCAAGAACTGAGAAAACAATGAAATATCTAAAATGAGGAAATTAAAATGTTGATGCATCTGTTTAAACATCTAAAGCAGGGCAAGTAATTAACATTGTTAATTAACATAGTCAAAACTAAAGAAATAGAGGTTTTATATTTTAAAAGAAAAAACAGTAATGTTAAGTATTTCTTTTTATGTACTTTAAAAATTGTATCTCTTAAGGCTGTCAATTTTAATCATTTTAGCTTTTTGCCTATTTTAGCTCTTTTAGGCTCTTAAGCAAGAGGGCAGGAATACTGAAGCAGGAGGACCTGAGTTGAAATTCAAATTCTGGCACTCACAATTACAGCTCATATCTTTGGGCGAGTTACGGTACACTCAGAGCCTTAACATATCTTCATTTTAAAGAAATTGTATCTACTTCATAGCATTTGGAGCAGGATTAAAGGAGATTAAGTTATGCAGAGCACCTAGCAAATATTTATAGCTTTATCAATGTTAATTCCTTTCTCTTTCCTTTCCCTATTCTGTTCAAAGTCCTTCCCTTTACTGTTTCAACATGTGTAGCATGTATATGTTTATTAAAGTTAACGTTTGAGTGCTTTTCAAAGAAAATGGGAGACTTTTATCTTGACTGAAGTGGTAATAATATCATAATCCTATCGGTTTTGATCAGTGGTCTTTTGAAATGCTATAATATTTTATTTTACTGGATGGTAAGGTCCTTCAGGGGAAGGATTACAATTCTTTGAAATCCTACTGCCTACTGGACTAATAATATTTATAATATGGAAAACATTATTATTTTTCATTAACTTCTATTAGTGTACTAAATGGACTATTACCATAGCTTTCATAAGTAACACTCCAAGTTTCAAATAAATTTGTACTAGAGTTAACTCTATTATTTTAAATTTGTATGTATATTCTTTTTTCTGTAATGACAGCTTTATAGAATCATTAATATTTATGAAGTTTCTGTTAGATCCTACTATGAACCTCTCAGTGTCTGGGGTATATCTGAATAAGTAACACCAGAAGTTCGGCCGTATTAGACCCTCAGCATCCACTGAACACTTATTTCTGGTACTGAACACTACTGGACACTACTGGACACTACTTAAGGGACATGAAGATCCTAAAGGCGTAAAGTGTCATTGGCAAGAAAGAAACTTGATTTGGCTTTCCGATGCAAGTGTGGCAGGTCACTTGGTCATTTCCAACTTCTATAGAATTTCTGACACTATAAAGCTTGAGTAAACTGAGAAAATCCTCTCAATTAAGGAAATAGCTCATCTAAAACCCATTACCTAAATGACACTTAAGCCGCTATCTCCTTCTATATACAAGATTCAACTATTCTCACCCTCTTGCAAAATCACACTTCTCTCATAATTACCATCACAAATATGGAACCTATAGTTCCTGATCTTAAAGGAAAAAGAGCACTGGTGGCTATTGACATGTACCAAAAGGCAAAATTGTTGGCTACAGAATGAAACTTTTTTTCCCTTCAAACAAGTAATTAGGGCTAAATTATTTTGCCTTCTCTGTCCATGCAATCAATTTAGAATGAAGAACATATCATTATTTTATGATATTATATATTTTTACAAATTCCTTATATATTAATATAGTGGCACACTGAAATAGAATATATAAAAAATATTTAGAATAATGTATATGGCTTTCTGAACATTTTGAAGGGAGGTGCTAAAAATCTAAGTATCTTTACAAAAAACCTAATTTCCAAAATTAGGTAGAGACTTTTAGATTAATCAGAAGCTTTTAATTGCACGCACATTTTCCACTCTTCATTTGTCATTCTAACATTCATTATGATCTCCATTAAAAGATAATAAAAGTAAAAAGAGGAAAAGAACAAATTCGTTCACTTTAATATTTATCAGTAAGCTAAGTTAGAAATTTATTTGTGGGGGTTAAGAAAAAAAAGTAAGGCGATAGCAAAAGATTAAGATGATACAAGCATGTTAGGAATTCTTTTTTACTTCATTCATTCATTCATATTAGCAATCTTCTCCAGGCCTGGCTACAATAATGTTATATGGACACAGATCCTCTATAGCCCACTCTTTTTTCTACCAAAATTCTTTATTCATCCTATACACATGTATGGAGAGCTGATGAGGAGTGGGAGGGGGGTAATACTGTTCTAAGTGCTGGTATTTAGCAATAAACAAAACAGAAGTCCCTGTCCTATGGATCTTCACTTTTCAGTAAGAGGAAATATTAAGAAGTATAAATACAAAGCATGTGAGATAATGCTAAATAGCAATGATGAAAATGGGGAAAGAGGGATATTGAGAATCTAGGAGGAGCTGAATTCTTTAATTCGGTAGTCTTATTATCCTCATGCTCCTCTCTAAATCTAAATATGTCTATTTTTCTAAGTACCAAATTATATTGAAGGATATATTCAGATATGTGTCTATTAAGGGGAACAGGTGGATAACCTCGAAAATTACAATTACAATTTTAATGACAGAAGAGCCATTGTTTTACTTCTTAAAAACTGTTTCATATGACTTTCATAAGCCCAGTAGTAACATAGGTAGATATACCCTAGTTTTTATTGGTGATGTGATCAATTCTCTGATAAAACTTAATACCACAATGATTACCAAGTAAGAACAAAACAGCATTAAAATCTTGAAAAGAGATTATTTTCATATCTTGTCTTAAGTTGTTGAATTTTGGGTGGGCAGAACAAACAGCTCCTCAATGTATGGTACAACTGATATCTAGCTACATTCTAATGGTGGCTGAAAAACATTTATGTTGTTTTTCTTTTTTTCCCTTTAAAAGGAAAGCTGGGCTATTCTTGGGTAACATGAAGTTCTCTGAGAACTCAGAAGGCTGTCTAGGTTCGTATCTAGGCAGGCTTGTCAAGTCAAGCTTTTGTTGGTTACTACCACAATCTAAACTACCTCAGTGACAGACATTAAAACTTCCAAGAACTCTTAAGTGCTCTCATATTATTCGTATTGTGACTCTTCCCGACATTTTATCAAAACAAGTATTCTTTACATTAGGAATACTGTAAATTCTACACCCGAACAAGAGTACCTCCGTGGTGATGTGACAGGCTCCCTCCATTGGCGAGGATTTCTTCTCTAGCAGCTGCCTGTATTTGGAAACAACAGGACAAATAGTTGCTACTTAGATTTCACTTTTTAGTGAGAGTAAGACCCAACTCCCACAGGAGGCACAGACTTCCTGGGCTAAATAATAGACTAGAAGCCTAATTTTCCTTTCTTTTAGATTTATTGCACTTAAAAGCAATAAATATAAATATAGCCTTTGTAGTTTTTTTCAGTGAATAGGTACAATATCTACAGTAGTCACTTTGAGATTTCTAGAAAAGAAAAAGGAGGCAAAATAATCAATTCAGCAGTACTAAATTGTTAGTAACAATGAAAAGAATTTTTGTGAAGACAGAGCCACGTCCTACTCTGAAGTAAACATCTCACTATACCAACATCTCACTATACCAACAAGCTGTTAAAAGGGTGAGACATAGAAGGAAGCCTACCAAAACCTGTCTATGGCTTGAGTTTAAAAGTGTACCACTGAAAATCACCTGTGGTACTATCTCTGGTGGGCACATAATAGAATTAAAACACTAGGACACCTGAAGTTTTAACAAACCTCAATCTCATCCAGGTTCCTCCACAGTCTGGTTTGTTTCTTCAATTCTAGACCTGAGAAATTCTATCAAACTTAGAAGACTTTACAAAAATTAGACGCTTAAGGCCATTTAAGAAATGTAATAAAACTGCTAACAAATGAACCTCAATGACCTACACAGAGCTTTAGCAAACAAAAAAATTTATAAGGGTATTAACAGCAACACAAACCAAGAGCATTAAGGCTTCTGACCTCAACTGTGGCCACCATCTAGAGATAGGTGGGCTGCCAAAGTGATATCAAGGATTCCTAGAGTCCTTTGCTATTTAATTTCATCAGGCATTATGTACTATAAGTAACAACCAAAAAAATAACAAGCTACAGAATATTAATTTTAGAATATTAATTCTTACATAGAGAACATTAATGCTATACTCACAATTCAGTATACAACCCAGTGCAACAAATATTCTCATTTCTATGGGCTATCAACCAGGTAAACTACAAGTGATTAAAGGGTCAAACTAAAATTCATAAATTGATAGTCAAGTTTATTGAAGTTAATAGAAGAATGTAAGAGCTATATTAATGTATGCAAAATTACCTCAGTTTGTTCAAAAACAGTCAGTGGGTCACTTATTCCTCTGTAGTTAAAGGCAAAGTAGAAATAGATACATGCACCTGCATCATAAGTCTGCGTCACCCTAAAAAACAAACAGACAAAATCCCCACAAGGCTTTAAGTGAAATCAGATTTAACGACTAGAAATTTAAAAGCAAGATCATCTGAAAGATTTGCTTAAAACATAATCTCATTCTTTACCCAGTCTCTTACTCCATTGAAGGAATGTAGATTGGGTGGATGAAGGATATACAGGAACTATTTGTACTCTTTTTACAACTTTTTTTGGTAAGTCTGGCTATTACCCAAAAAAGTTTAAAAATTTAAAAACGATGTACATGTTTCTCCAATTGGCCTGAAATAAACAAACACCTCAATTCCTCAGAAGAGATTTTTCTTTTTTTACAAAATATATTGTAGTTAAATTTATAAAGTATATTGTAGTGAAAGACAGCCCCCAAACACACTAGATGGAACTTGATAATCTTCTGTAAGTCTAAACTTCCTCAAAGTTAACAGAAATAATTATGAGAATTTAAAACTAGGAAACAAGAGAAATGTTCAAATACTAAAATGATCATACTAGGTAAAATGATCATACTAGGTAAAATGATCACACTAGGTGAAATACAGCAAATTCACATTAATAATTAGTAAGGACTTTGAAAACAAACTGAATGATTATATCAGATGCACTGACATGACCTTAAAATAGTGTCTCCAAAGGTTACTCTGGGCCCCATATATGTGTGCATGTTTTATGTGTCTTTACAAAAGATATCAAGAATATTAGATAATTAAATTGCGTGTATATGTATGTCTGGGCTTTCAAAATGAATTAGGTGAAGCATTTAAAAGAGAGCTAAGGTAATCATAGCTAAATCTCTGAATGCAATTTATGGAAGTTCCCACAAAGAGTTTAACAGAAGGAGCAAGTACAGAAGAAATACTCTTTTACTACACAATACAAACAGAATCTAATCTAATCTAAAATTTTAATGGCCTTTTAGGCCAAATGTTAGGTGCCTCAGAACAGAAGAAATAAACTGTTTAACAATGCTACTGTCAATTTGCCAGCTGTGTTTTCTTTCTAGTGTTAATTCACACTCATAAAAAAGATTCCTTGAATATTTACATTTTAAGTACCAAATTTACAAAGTTTAAGAAAAACTAGAAAACCATTTTAACTATGACAGTACTATCTTTAGGAATAATCAACTTTAAATTTAAAGGATATAGGAATGAAATGAGTTTATAGCAATTAGTAAAATGTACATCACTCATATAAGAATTAATATAAAAAATATTAATTATGTAAATAAATATTAATAGAGCATTGTCACCTTCCAACAAATCCAGGATTGACATTACAGTTTAATTTTCAGTAGCTAAGTACTCAAAGAAAGACAAAACTGAAATAATAAAAACATCTTTGGGAAAACTCAATTTGGGTCCATTTCAAAAAGTGACTCAGATCTAATACCTTTTAATAGATTAATTGTATCATTTTAGACAGTTAAACACTAACCTCTTCCAAAATGACTTTGACAAGTGATACTGTGGTTGCCAAAGTCATTCTACTATTCTTTAATTTCTAAAAAGTGTTTTTGCTCTATGCTTTTTGGACAACTTTACTTGTATCAGACTCACTGGCTAGGAATTCCTTCCCATAAAATTTCTTCAGAAAATTTAAGGTTGAAATGTCTATTCCAATACGCAAAGTACTTTTTAATGGACAGAAATGAAATAAACTCAATAAATGCACCTACAGCTAAATTATTTTCCTTGGGATCTTTGATTTCAATGAGATCGATAATTATTTTAAATTAATTTTGAAATAGCTTTTTTAAAAACTAGCTTAATAAATACATCTCACACATTCAACATTTATGTTCAACACAGAATAATCTCTTTGGCTACTATTAAGCAGGTCATATCAAACTAAATTAAAATTAAACTCTAGTTAAATGTTAGTGTAATCAAGTATAAGCTATAAGTAAAATTCCTATTTATCAAAACCATTCAAATAACTAGACTTTGTACATTCTAAACTTTGGTTTTAGAAGATAATCACAGAAGCTGAGCATTTAAGCTTTTATCAGACAATCATTCCTTAAAAAATAGCTATTTAATTAATGACATATGGCCAATTCAGTCTAAGTATACCAATTCTACCTACCTATAATACACAATGAAGATTCTTAGACCCTGTGAATACCTTGTGAAGAAACTAGACTTATACAAAGTATCCTAAGGCAGAATATTTTACTTCCCAATCACTTTCAATAAGTAGTGGTTTATCACAATGATATTTGCATAATGGAAGGGGAGAAGTCCCTAGAGACCTTGAATAGAGAAGTGGGAGAGAAGGATGAAGGGAAGATAAATTGTGTTAGGTTGCCACTTGATAAAAGTATAAAAACTTCTCAACTGCATACGAATAGATTATATTATTTAAAATGTTTCAAATTTCACTGGTAAAAAATGACTTTTGGGTTATTAGGCCTGATTTGTTTTGGGTATTATAATAAGAGGTTTGATAGACTAGATTATCAAGAGAAGAAGTAAGTACAGCAGGTCCTCGAATAACATCATTTCATTCAACGTTTTGTTCTAACATTGACGAAATGCCACAGGAACTTAAGTTGTTTATATCGAGTAGCCTATAGTAAAACAGGTTTCGTCAGATGTCACTGCCGTTAAAGTCACAGAACCTATTGATGACGTTAAGGGAGGACTGATTGTATCACTTTGGGCTGATAATATAAACACAAAATTTTTTTCCTTAGACTTCAAGGACTTAAAAATTTCATTTTTAATGATGCCTCCAAATTAAAAAGATTCTCTCAAATATCGCTCATTAAGTCAGCAAATAGCTTTACCAAGTTATAAGATTTTTATTGTACATAATAAGGCCTCTAGTACCCTTCCTTCAGATATAGCAAACCCCAGCCAACAGTCTCTCTAAATCCACGCTTTTAGCTTTTATATTCTTTGATTCTATCCTGAATACACTTATTCTAAAACATGTTGATACATAGACTTGACTTAGTACTTCCTGAAATGCTCTTCGAACCCTAATTATCTTTCCTACACAGAAGCAGAAAAGACTATTTCAAGGAGATCCTAGTTGACATGAACAGTTAACATGAGAAAGATGCTTTCCTCACATTTCATGTTAGAATTTTACCTACTTATCCAGCAGAAGTACAATGTATCAAATTCTAAAAAATATTTGTTTCAGTAGGAGCAATAAGTAGAACTAAGAAACACAATATGGCAGTAGGGAAGTACAACATGAGAGGATGTAAAAACAAAAAGAAAAAAATCACAGAAGAGATAGCAGTTTAAAGAGTATAGAGAAGTATTTCTAGTCTTGCAAAGCAAATACATGCAAATTATTATGCTATGTCAAAAATAAGAGGGCCTAAAAAACTGATGCCTTCTTGATGATTTGTCTTTGGGGGACAAAAACCAAATATCCAAATTTTCCTTACTAACACTGGTATAAATTATCTACCTCAACCTTAATGTAATTACACCATAACAACACAATGGCATTTACAGAGCTCTTCGTATGCTTTTGTATTTCATTCTCACAAGAGTCCTTTCAGGTAGATGCGATTTACTAATGATAAACTTAGAGCTCAAAGAGATTAAATTACTAATAAACAGCAGAAAAGTTCCTTTACTCTTCAGACACATTTAGTATTACAAAACAAAGAAATTAAAAACTAAGCAGGAAGTTGCCATGGAGATGCAGTTGGTAGGTAGGGTCCAGTTTTTGGGCTGGAACAGGCCCACGTCTGCCTTCCCAGGCTGAGACTGATGCCAGGCAAATCAGAAGAACAAGCATCGTGAACAGAAATACAAAGAAATGCTGTGGTGCTGAAGCGAAACTGTTGTTTCAGAGTGCAGCATCTGGTGCACTTAACAATAAAGATATTACATTAATTTCAAATTACTTAACTTATATTCATGCTTATATTATTTTTTATGTTTCTATAATAAATATTGGAGTTATAGTCTATAAAACCACACACACAGAAAAAAGGAGAGGCAATTACATAATACAGAATGTTCAATAAATTTTAAAGTGCTAGATTACTACTGTATCTTTTACTTCAAGGTTCCCCTGCTCATGATCTGTCCCAATTTCTCTTTATTCTACTTTCCAATTAATTCCATAACTTTTTAGAGCTGTCAAATGCTCAATTCAATCTTGACACATTTAATCTTCTGGTGTTTACACAGAAAATATCAAAAGATTGCATACAAAGTGCCCCTTCTCAAAAAAATTTCCATTTGGGCTGCTGCCCTATTTAACAAAGAGCTCAAGATGGATCCAATATGGATCTTAACTGTCCAATATAGAAGATGCCAATGTGGCATTTTAAATTTAAATTATTTGAAATTAAATAAAATTTCAAATTCAGTTCCACAGTCACACTAGCCCCATTTCAACAGCTCAATGACCATACGTGCCTTGTGGCAACAACACTGTACAGGGCAGACATAGAACGTTTCCATTATGGCAGAAAGATCTGCTGGAAAGCAATGACTTAATCTTCACTTGGATCTTTTGTTCCACTCATTCCTTTATTCCACATGCATTCATTTAATCGACAACTGATAAAATGGTTAGTGATTTTTCTCTGTTGAAGAAAGAGCTATGCTGACTGTGTATGTAACTTAAAGTTCCTTGACAATATATGTAATTTATAGTTTCAGTGAATGAAGAAGGATGTCTTCTCTTATTGCAGGAGCTCAGACATTTGGGTCTTCACTGTCATGCTGTCCAGATGGTATAAGGCTCATTCACAGATGGGTGTTTTACTCCTAAAGGGCTTAGGATTACTGTAATATGCTAGTGGCACAATCCTAACAAGGTGGCAAGTGAAGTTCAGGAAAGCTTGCTAGGTGGTATAGACTGATGCTTTTCCTCAGCTGGCGGATTACACTTCTCCATTAATTAAAAGTTTTCTTTTTTTCCGAGTAAGAAGTATAAGAGCAATAAAAAACTCACCTGCATGTAGAAAGAGGAGCAAACTGAACACCCTTCTCTTTGCATTCCCTTGTTATTCTTTCTTTTACATTTCTACAGAGATCTACAACTCTAGAAAAGAAAATTGAATACAATATTGTTTTTGAATTACAAATTCTAATAATGCTGGTTTATCTGGCATCCTTCAAGTTAGAAATTCTCTTAACTAAAACCTTCATACTTATTCTTTCAAGAAAAATCAAGAGCCTTTATCATTCAAATTGAGCCTTCCATTCATAACTTCAAGGAAGCAAAATCCTTTCTTTTTTCGGCATAGAAAAGACAAAAAGTCAGAACAGCACACTCAAGTCTCCTGAAGGCAGTGTCCTACACTTAGGAAAACCCAAATTTCAAAATAAATTTAATTTCAAGATTTTAAAAGCTTTAAAGCTATAAAGAACATGTTAATGAAAATTCAATTCTCGGTTATAGGAATAACCAATCTTGTATCCATGTCTAAGAAGTTTTCCTCAATTTAAAAATAATTTAACAAAAAATCATTATAACAAATATTCAATAGCCTATTCTCAAGCACTGAGCTAAACTCCAGTTCAATAAAGACTTACTGGACATGTAACCTTTTGTAAAGCTACGCTAGGCTGTTTGATATTAAAAGTCCATGAAAACAGATGGATGAGGGGAGATTAATAATATTTAAGAACATTAATCTATTTTTTAATGGGAACTGTAGCATACTATTATAACTACATATTTTCTTTCATCTGCAAGATAAAACTCTTAAGGTATGTAGAAGCCATTTTATTCTCCAATAAATGTCCCAGCTATGTAATGACACTGATTTTAAAGTATGGTCTGTTTAGAATCATGAGAATGGAAAAGATAACAAAGAAACTTCAAAGGCTGGCCTATCTCTAGTCTCAAGACTGATTTGACTGTGTGAAAACCAATTTGATAAACATAACAACATTAAACAGATTATGCTTTATAAAATACATTAAAGTTATCTAAACTTCCAATAAAAACAAAGAATAGATGATTAAAATATTAATATGAAAAGAATTTTAGTGTTATTAGCATGTCAAATTTTATTTTATAAATACAGTATCTAAAACCTTTATAAATTCTAATTTTACAAAACACTGCTCTTAAGTTATGGTTTATTTTATGAGAACTGCAGGCAAATATGATTTATCAATGTTATCTATACCTCCTTTATGGAATGGTAAGAATGCATGTTTTTAAAAAATCTCTTGTAAAGCATTTAGATTATTAAAATTTAATGTTTTTATTTTGAAAATCCAACTTATAAAACAAATTCTTTAAATATATAAGAAAACCTACTAAGCTTTAATATCTACAGGGGTTAATGAATTTTACATATTTGTAAAAGTAACAAGTTCTTTTTTTTTTTTAACTAACAAGTTCTTGATCATAACTCCATAAGTCATAACTCATTGTACATGAAGACTGAATGTAGAAAAGTAAAAAGATTTCTGGGGGAGGAAAAAAAAGAAGATAGAGTAGAATAAAAATGTTAAGATATGTACCATCCCAGAGGTGGATTCATGGGGATTTGTTATTTCCTATAAACTTTACTGTGAATTTTAAACGATTTGTTAACTTTATAAAGAAAAAGTGAAATGTAAGCCATAATAGAATAAAACATATAATCTCCTTAAAAATATTTTACTACTAAATGAATTAACTTGAGTCTGTTTTTAATAAAACTACTTCTCATTTCCTAATCAGTTTTTCCTATTAATTCCCTAACCAATATCTGTATGTATATGTAATTTAAAAATTGTACATAATTTCTTAAATTGGATATCTTTTAGAAATTGCTTAAATGCAAGTTAAGATCTTGCTTAAGAGCAAATACATAAATATCAAAGGCTAAATGACATTACAAAAGAAAGTTAACTGGTTTTATAATTTTGGGAGACTTTTTAGAGAACATTTAAACATATTTATCACTTAAAAATTTAGATCAAAGCTTAATAAAAACCATATAGTGGCATTTAGCATTCAATAAGATTCTTTAAAATGTAAACTTCAATAATACCTTCCTTCTATGGGACATGAACGAATTTGCCTCAAACCAAAAAATATCGCTTGCAAATATGACATTCTGATGGAGATATTTAAATAAAAGTGATCACCTTGTTTCAGTGTTTCTTTATAAAACTTTATGCTTACATAATGACACACAAAGATACATTATTTGAACAATTCAGATAGTATATTTTAATATCAGGCATTTTATTTCATTTTACCTGTCCCAAGGAGCAGAAGTCTCAAAAGATTCTCCTAATACATAGAATTCCAAACCCAAGTCCTGTTCAGACACATACACAAATATCAAGAAATTACAACAGATGCAGAAGAATCAATAATATTGTTTGTATTTCACGTTCATTGTTAGTGTTTCATGTAATTGTTAGTATTACATGTTTCTTCTACTTCAATCTCCATGGTTCTTTTAATATCCACATTATAAGAGCACTGAAAAGTGGCCCCAAGAGTGAGATATAACCCCCAGAAGGAACTTCGTGTTGTTCTCCTCTGTACCCTTGGCACTGGGCAGAGTGCCTGACAGATGGTAGGAAATATTTCTCCAGTGAACAGTCTGTTTATCCAGTATCTACGTACATGTAGAAAATATGAGCAAAACATATTTTTAGTAGTCTAAACAGCAAATTAATACCAAAAAGTGATCATCAGGCCACTTGAAGGAGCTGGGAAGTAGGAAAGGTAGGTGGAAAGGAGACTACAGGAAGGAGACACTATATCACCCTTTCTTCAAAGCAACTTTTCCTTAAAAACAAATCAGAAAATATAGTGCCTCTCATTGTAGTGACTGAATAGACTGAACATTTGGAAGCACCTCTGCTAGGAAAATATACTTTATAGCAAAAAGATGTAATGTTTACATGATAAGCAACTTATAACACTAATTTCTTTAAAGTACAATTTTATAATTTCAAAACGGAAAAGAATAACTCACAAGCCACCAAAGAAATATAAAGATATGAAAAAAGTTTATAAAGTAGAAAAGTCAATACATGTTAAGTTTTTACCTCTAGTAAAATGAATCACTTCAACTCTACCACTGGTTGGCAGGAAAAGTCTCCAAATTAATGATCTAAAATGTGTTTTTCTCTTATGCATTCATTTATTCAGTAAACATGTATTTGGTGACAACAGTATTAAGCATTGGGAAAATAAAAAATAAGACAAATAATCTCCCCTTTCTCTCAAAAATCTTTAACTTACTTTTAAGTTTTAACACTAACTGGAATCTTAATAATTAAGAAATTTCAAACTGTGTCTATGCTGTACTTCTTACAGTTCCATTTCATTTCCTAGAATTCTGAATTTAGTATTATGAGAAAATGGTCAATATCCTCAGAGAAAATGCCTAACAAACAAAATTTTATATATATCCAAATGCTTACTATAGGAAAACTTGGGATACTGTCAATCTACGGAGGTAAAAATTATTTATGAGACTTCAAATCATCTTTTGTGATCTGTAAACCTGTTCATCACAATTTCTAACACAGCACATAGGCAAGATACTTCTCGCTATGAGCATGGGTTTGGGGAGGGAGATGGAATAACAGAAAGATCTACATACTTCAAATTCACTGTGATCTGAAATTTGGATCTTACCTAAGATTAAATTATTTTAAAAATGAGAACACAATTCAAGCTTTCTTAGAAAAGCAAAAACATTTATATAATTTCATGTACGTATTTCCTTCAAAATAATTTCCAAGTGAAAAATCAGAAAATTCAATATTTGGGGAAGCCAAATTCTCAACAGGATAGCTGAGAAATGACCTTTTAAAACAAGACAGTTTAAATTACATAACAAGCAATATTTTTACAAAGTAACCCTAGCAATAGCAGAAAACAATTAAGAAACTTGAAGTTTGTTATAGCCAAAGCAGAAAAAACAAAACAAACGAACATATGAATAAACTTTCAGAAGAACACTGTCATATCAATAAGTATAGAGGACTCAAGGTTAACATGACTAATAGTTTCCCACAAATAGAAAATAAAAAATCAGAAAAATTTTAGAGCTCAAATATATACAAATTATCTTTAATTCTATATAGTAATCATCACCATAAATCAATAACTACTCAGAATCAAGTTAAATACCAACTTTTAAAGACAGTTAAAAAAACATTTATACATGTTTAAATAGATTGTGGATCAAGTTAGGAATGTTGCTAACTAAGGCAGCTTGCTTTTAATCAAACAATATTAGGAATGGCAAAATCAACTTCCAGACACAGAAAAGCTCCATTCTTCTAAAGAACAGAAAGATCTATTAAAAATCTTTAAATTCCTCAAAACCACATATGAAAAGTTTAATTAATAATCTCTAAATCTGTTAATCACAATTTCTAACAGCACACAAGCAATAAATGTACTTTTTCCCCATCAGCATTGGAGAGGGGGAGCAATAAGACGTACATACTTCAAATTCACTGCAATCTAAAATTTAGATCTTACCTAAAATTACATTAAAATGCTCACTATGGGAGAATTTGAGGTAGATTTGTAGCTAATCCTGGGTTCTTATAAAATGATGTGCTAAATCACAGTACTTTAAAATTTATGAAAATAAAGAAAATAATTTTATTCACTCAAAGTAAGAAAAATATCGTTTGCAACATAAGTTAACAAAGGAAATATGAGATAACTTACTCGAATATATGCAATGACATAGGTCAGCAAATAACCTCTCTGTCCATTATCTTCTCCAGCTGCCAATCCACTGTAATTAAAGAACTGTTAATAAATTTCAAATGAACTATTAAAAAAATATAAAACTAACCAAACTGATATAACACATCAAGATAATGGCTTACCAAATTAACATATATTATATTGCATTTAATTTTTATTTCACTCTCATTTGTCATAAATATATCAAAGAGCTGTTAAGAGAATAAGCTTGGATAATAAAAATCTGAAAGTACTTTTAATATTTCAGTTTGGTCATTAATTTCAAACTTTTATCTACCAAACTAATAAAACTGACTCATGAACTTAACTACTTCTACTCATATTGTTGAAGGAACAGAAAATCAGACATGAGAAACAAACTTAAATAATCTTCACAAGTATAATAAGATACTTAAAATACTCTTATTTTATTTGTATTATATTCTTTTTCATGTATTCATGTATTTTTATTATCTTAATCATATGTAAGATGTGCAATGATTGACTAGGCCCTTCCAAATACTGAGAAGTTTCTTGAATACTTGAGCACATAGTATTTGGAGTATTAGATATGTTGTTTATTTTATGAAACTTATAACTTAAATGAAAGACAAAACATACTTACACAGAAATACTAAAGTTTATGAAGCAATACACAGACAAGTATAAGACCAATATATAAGGTCTTATTACTATGAACATATGAACTATCTATTTCAAGTTGAAAGTAGTTTTATCCATAGAAATTGTATTTGGTGATCTACAGTTAGAATTCATTCCATATAACACATAATTCAGTCCAAGTCTCTGCTCTGTGAAAGTCATTCTTATTTTAAAAGACTACGAATGATTACTGATTTCCACTACCTTCAGTAGAGTTTTAAATTTTGCTTCTTTCCATCATCAGGCAGAAATTAAATTTTAACTATTCCTGGTCAACTAAATAAAACTTACCCCAAACTCTCAAAGCAGCAACCTAAAATTCCTTAATAAAACCAGATAAAAAGAAAAATATCTTTTCTTGTGACTTTCTTGAGTCATGACTGATTTATGTCTCTCTTCTCAATACCCTAACAGCACCTCCTTGTTCTCAGGATGCTGAGCCCTTAACCATGGTGTTGCCCAAGACTCAGGTGTTGAGCCTCTGCGATTTGAGCTTCTTCCAAAAGAATCATTTCCCTTGAGGCTTCGATTAACACCTATAGTTAAATCCTTTTTTCCCCTGAAGCTTTGCTTGGATTTCGCAGTAAGTAAGTAATACAAAGTAGAGGTACCCTGTTCTATATAAATACTGCAAGGAAATTTTAGGCTAGGATATATGGGCTAAATCAGATTTTCTGACTTAGTATTACAGCTGGATCTACATTAATTAGTGTCATCCAGGAGGAGTAGCAAAGACTCGACAGGAGCAGCTCCCATCTAGAACTACTTGGGGACAGAGAAGAAATGAAAGAGGTGTATCAGTAAAATGTTAATAAGTGAGGAAGACAGAACTTAGGTCAAACAGCTAAGAGTGAAAAGTAAGAAATAGAATACAGTTCTGAGTTGGGTGTGTATGGATGTGAGGTTGGGGTTGGGAGTCAGAGTTCCAAAACAAATCGGAAACTAGTCAGAAAATTGCTGTGGCAATGCTTGGAGGAAAATAGCTGAGCCCATACTTCAGAGAGATATGAAATAAAATCAGACCTGAGTCCAAGAGAGAAAAAACACTATTGATCTAGGAAACATAAACAGTTCAGCCTGGGAATAGTGACAGAAAGCAAGGAAAGGAGAGTGAAGACTAGTCCAGAAGATCTGCACTGGGAATCTTTGAGAAGGCGCATTCTAAGCATGTATCTGGTGAGAAGTAACAAGTATGAACATTTAGTGGGCCTGTCTCTCTTACATCAGGATGAGAAAAAGTCCTATTTTGCAGTCTCAGGTCAAGCCATTTTTCTTTAAACCCTCTTCTAATATCTGGTGAAGCTGGGGGTGGCGTGGGGGTGAGGGTGGGGGTTTTCTTCCACTTTAGATCCAGTGTGACAAACCACAAAGAAACCTGCATTTTCTTATCTAAAGCAGGAAGAAATCGGATGTGTGCATTCTAAATTCATAAACTCCAAAAAATCAAAATAGCCCTAAGTCATCTGCTTAATGACAGCCTTGGTTGTTCAACACAGATTTCAGCATCTAAATGAAGAGAGCGAGGATGAAATTACACTCAGAAATTAATTATAACTAACTAGCAGCAAACAGTAATAGCAAAAAATAAGACCTCAATTAGGGTTTAAGTTTTTAATGCTTTACCCTTGCTTTAAATAGATACCTCATTTACCAAAACCTTTTTTTAATGGATGAATCTGATATAAGTTTTGTTTAGTATAAGCAAATTGCTAAAATTAAATCAATTGTTCTGGGCCTCAGTATCAGTATCTAGAGACCTAGCGTCATTTTAAGGATGATCTATTCTTACTTTTAAGTTGTAAATGGCTGGTGTTATATGAGAAAAACTGACATTACATGAAAAGACATTTATGACAGTTGGTGGCTCAAATTAAATAAAACTGACAAAATGGTTCTGATAAATACCTAAAAATTAAAATACACCAGGAAAAAAGGAGTAAGAGATTAAGAAGTACAAATTGGTACTTACAAAACAGTCATGGGCATGTAAAGTATAGCATAAGGAATATAGTCAATAACATTGTAATAACTATATATAGTGTCAGATGGGTACTAGATTTATTTATTTATGTAACTTTGAACGTTACATAAATAAATAATTGCTATGTTGTACACCTGAAACTAATATAATGTTGTATGTCGACTGTAATTGAAAAATAAAATAAAATAAAAAACACCAGGAATAAAAGTAAATATTCACAAAGAACTCAAAAAAATTAAGCATAATGTGTATGATATATTTTAAATTTTAAAATAAAAGAGATGGTCCACAAAACTGTTAGTTTATGTACTTAAAAAGGAAAGAAAAAAAAATGTAGTCCTGATAAATGGCATTTTCACTACAGTTCCCATCGATCAATCATATAATCCATCAAGCAGACAGACAGAAACCACCCAATCATTATTCAGTTGGTTATAGATGTGAAATGTTTTCTGTTTCTTTATACCAGCACAAAACAATAAGTGACAGGGGGTGGGATATAGGTAATTTATCAAAAACTTTTGATTAAACACAATTTCCTTTTAAAAACATACTATTGGCATGTTTTATACATATACTATTACCACTAAACAGTAACATGACAAGGAATTTTTCCCATTCCACTCTAGCACAACAGCAAATATTATTAGCATTAATGGAAAAATACAATAAAATATTTAATATATCATATATATGATTAGACAAGTAAGAGCAACATACCAAACTAACTTCCTACAAATTTTGAGAGTAAACCAACACAACATTTTAAGTTGACTATCATATATCACTACAAATATAATACTAGAAATGGTACATCAACAACTGCTTGGAGATAAAAGAATTTTAGCTTAAGTTTCTCTTGGCATTATGAACTTAAAGCCATACCCAAATTTTGCAGCAATGTCATATACTTGTTTTTCATGTTGAAGAACTTTCTCACGGTCCCCCTCAAACAATAATGTAGCGACACTTAGCTGATTTGGATCAAATCCTTTAAACTACAAAGAAAAAAATTATTATTATAGATAAGTCTTATTCTACAAATAATAAATCAAAATTCATTTTGATCTTTTTCCTTCTGATTTGGGCTCAAACACATCAACTCTTTAAAGCCTGACCTTTGGAACTTTAGATGTCAAAGAATGCTTAATGCACCTATTCAGGTCATTATAGTATAGTAAAACTATGAAAAAACATTTCGGTTCAAAGTATGCCATAGTGCCAATTGTAATTATATATTGGTATGTAAACACAACAAATAACTTGTAAAAATTATAAATGTAATAATCAAAACTACCAAAATGATGGAATATAATAAAGTAGCAAGATGTAAGGTGGGAGAGAATAAAAACCAACCACATTCTTATATACTATAATAACTTCTTATTAAATAATATTTTCAAAGGAGACCTTATGCATAAAATTAAAAAACAAGATATCTAAGAATAAATTGGAAAGAAAATGTAATTTCATTATGAAAACATGTCTAAAAAAAGATGAGAAAGATACATGTTTCTAAATGTATAAACTAAGTATTATAAACCTTGCCCAAATTGATAAACTAGTTTTATTTCAATTCTAATAAAAATCTAGATGGACTTTCTAAAACAGAGAACAGTTTCTAAAGTTTTTCTAGAATAATAAACAGGCAGGTGATAGTGATAACGAGATAAAGCACAAGAAACAAGGGGGAAGAACTAGACCTACAGAAATTAAATCCATTTACATTTTTAAGAACAAAAGACAGAGTCTATTTCTTGGATAAGTATGTAAGATGTCTTAGACATGGCAAATCAAAGAGAAGCAGGGATTAGTTGATGGCGCTGTCACAACTGGTTAGCAGTTGGAGGAAGAGGAGATAAAGAGTAATTTAGAACTTTATCTCACATTATAAAATTGAAAAAATTCAAATAGTTAATAAAGACGAAAAATTTTTAATTCCCATTTAACAAAAAAAGTAATAGAGAGAAAAATTATCCTAATCATAGTTCTGGTGGAAGGAAGGTTTTCTAAGCTCAGAAATAACTAAATAATCACAGGTAAAGATAAAAATTTGAAACTTGGGCACCAAAAAAAAAAAAATCTTTTATTTAGTTACCTGACTGGAAAAATTATTTACAACATTATGACAAAGGTATCTAAAAATTCCATTACTCATAGGGCACACACCAAAGCACCAAGAAAAAAAACATGAAGCTGCCACTCCTGAAAAAATAACCATATTCAGCTAATTCATACAAAAATTATATTTAAGAAATACAGGGAAATGGTCAGCCTAATTGGAATTTCAAGAAACATCAACTAAAATAAAGTACTATTTCCCTTTCCTCCCTGGATTCAGTAAATTTAAAACATAACAAAACAAAAATCTCACAAGCAACAGAAAGAATGCAACAAAAAAAATGGCACATATGTATTGCTAGCAGTAATATAAGCTGGTATAAACATAGGAAAGGAATTCAGCAATTAATAGTTAAAAAAAGAATATACTTGTATTTCACTTCTAGATATCTACTATAAAGGAAAAAATTCAAACTATAGTGTTATATGCATGAAACTGTTTAATACAGTGTTATTTTTAAGAACTTCAAACCTGAAAAAAATTAAAATTTCTGAAATTGAAAGCATTAATTTACTTGATAAAATATTTGTTTCAATATGAAAAATAATAGTTATGAAATGTACATGGCAACCTGGAAAAACATAACAGGTTCATGTGAAGGGGAGAAAGAAGGAAACAAAATCAATTAAAATCCTAAGCATTTAAAATTTTAGCATTTTATAAAAATTCTTACCTTTGTAATATAAAACTTTTTTAAACCATCCAAAAATGATGTGAAAATAGAGGAAACCTGAGGTTTAAGTGCATGACCTAAGAAGAAAAAAAAATTAGCATTTTAAATAACAAATTTTGTTTTTTTAGAACAAGAGGCTAATTTAACTTATATCCTAAAAGGTGAACAATTTTCACAACTTTAATTTTTTAAATCTCTCTGTTATGTGTATTAGATATTAATGTTAATATCTACATCTTTTACCTTTATCTTCTTTCAAAAGTCACAACTTTTTGTTTACAAAACCCCTTCTTCGTTTTTTTTTAAAACTCAAATTACCATATGTAATTAATACTACACAGTTTAGGTTATCTTTCAATGGTATAGTTTATAGTCAGTAAAATCACTTCATTAATTTTTATTTCATTAAGACCACCTGATGGTGACTGGTTTTACTTTTATTTTTTTTTAATTATGCAGAAACCATTCAGAACTATATCCAAATATGGAGTCAATACCATGTTTAAGGTTGTTTCTTAATTAATTCTTAATTCATCCAGAATTCTTGGTATAAAACTGCTTCCTTCATCACACCCAGAGAGTTAAAATTGCCAAAATAACATAAATGGTGTCTCAGAGTCTGTTAAATTAACATCTTTGCCTGAGGATTGAGCTTAATCGAGTGAAAGTTTTTTACTGTTTTCTCATTGTTTTCAGAGTAGCAACTTCTTAACTCCCATGACTGTTACATTTAAAAATCATGCATCTGGCCTTAGTGCTATGAGACTGATTTAGAAAAATGTGGCATACTATTTATGTAGAGTTTTTATAAAGAATTTTAAAGCCTCTAGAGTACATCGAATATTATCACTAAATAAAAAGCTTATTATTATTATTATTTTTTAAAAGCTTTGGGATTTTGTTTGTTTATTTTCAAAATGTGAGTCTCTTCTTTAAAATAGGTATAAATAGCAAACTAGGTTTTTGAAAAGCAAACAAAAAAAGATTTCCGTGGAAAAAAACTATTACTTTCAGTCTTTTTCCCATTGATCTTTTTTTTTTTTAAAGTGAGGCTGAATTTGTAATATTTATTACATTTTTATTGAATAGGAAAATGTTACATAAAAGACCAGCAACTAACATGAAATCTACATGAAGTAACAAGAGTTAGATATCAATGCTATAACTGGACAAAGCACAAAACAAAACAAAAATGAAGGTCAGAATAGATAAGAGGTCAACCTAGCAATCTTTGGGGGCTACTGGCTCCAAAGGTTTGTTTGGGTTTTTTTTTCCTCTAGCATAACCAGTGCTTTAGATACCATTTCTAGCACATATAAAGTTAAAAATAACATATTATCAAAATATTCACTTCCTGTCACAAATGAATTCATCCTATTTTAACAATTGGAAATAAATATATAAACATAAATGTATGAGTATATATGTTGTGTTCTTGCAAGCAACCGAAATTATATGTTCCTCATAAACATCTTCTGATCCACATAATCTTTACACAAGGTGTGAGGACTTCAAATGTTACTACTCCGATGTGGAATAATCCTTAAAGATTTATTCATCTAACACATTGAAATTTATATGCACTAGTTTCCACACTAGTAGGAGGAAGTCACATATATCCTTGATACTGAGTTGATGTGATAGCTCTGAAGCCTAATTATTATAACAGTGCTACTAACTTTTAAGTGGGTCAAGCATTAGTATTAACTCAGCTTATTATTTTTTTCACTTATTCTTAAATGTTGCCTATCAAATTAATTACATTCTAAATATATTCCAGCTATTGTGTTTTACCTTTTATGGTAAATGAAGGAACCAGTTTCCAAATTTACTAGCTAGACAGTTTGATTAGTGAATTGTGTTGTTATAGTGTTAATTAAATAATTTTAAAGGATTTAATAAATATCTACATTTCAAAGAAGTGATCTGAGACAGTAGAAAAAGTCTTGGGCGTTGGAGTCGGACAGATTTGGGTTCAAACCCAGCTTTACCACATGTGACTTATGGACTTTGCTAAAATATTTAGCCTTGAGTCTTTGTAACAGGGATACCACCTTGAGGAACAGTTGTCAGGAGATATTTGATAAACTGTGCTATTGATAATGTGCTTAATATTAGCACTACGCTATGTGCTATGCAAGATTCGTCCAACCTCTTTTGCTAATTTGATGACTAAGTCAATCACCATGTAAGTGCCTATTATGTGACAAGTGAAAGAGATATAAAAATGAATGAGAATTATCCTCCAAATTTGACAAACTTTAGTTTACAGGGGAAATATGTAGATCATTTCAATATACTCAATGATATATATTATTTCAATATGCTGAAAACATTTCATTTCAATATAATGTTTACGGTTCTATCAGAGGAATGATATTAAAAATATTAACTAAGAATAAAACTTGTGCTTTGTTAAGAACCAATACGACCAACCGGCCATATAGCTAGGTCAAAGTTCTGGACACCCCTTACTGTGCTAAACGTTACTCTTTAGTTGCTTGATCACAGAGCCATGATGAGAAATATAGATGGAAAGGCTTCCATAGGCACTGAAAAACCAGTAAGATTATTGACAGCCAAGGAGCATGATCAGATGTGTATTTCCAATGGATGACTTTGGTGGTCAAGTAAGGGCAAAAGGAGAAGAGACATAATCAAAGAGAATAGAACCTACCTTAAAGCATATTCCTAAGTATAGTAATGATAATGTGAAACAGGGATGACCGATAGCCAGAAAGATCTTTCCTTTAAACCTTCACTTTAAATTGTTATAGATCTCAATTATAAATAAAATCTCGCCAAATCATAGTTAATTTTACAAAGGTGTCTATGTCTAACATATTTTACTACAATAGCAGCATATAAATGGATAATGGTCATCAATCAGGTATATAGTTCTCCTAAGACCTAGATCTCTGCAGGCCAAAACACACAGGAGTCTTGATTTTCATTTGATTTAACTATTTCATTATTTATAGGACACACTTATCTTAGACTTTTATCAGTAGTACAGTAGTTTGAAAGTAATTTACTTAAATAAAAGCCTGTGACTTAGAAGACTCTAATTTAAAACCAATTTTGATATGTTATATACCTGACTTCCTTAGTTTTCATTTAACTTATAATAACCATTCTGACTTAAACTGAAATCTAAGCTACTCTTAGAACAAACAAAAGTCTGCCTATCGTAGCCTTTAGTATTTATTATTGAGCAAACATTCCCATAATTTCATTACTGTTTTGAGGGTACTTAAATTCTATAAACTTAAATCTCAACTAAATCTCAGTATATAGAAAATATAGAAAAACAATAAAACTAGACTTGGAAAGATGATAAATTGTGCCAGAAAGTTCAATACTTTAAGTAAAATAGGGAGAAAAAGAAACACAGCTAAATGCTATGCATTCTCCACCTGAATATTCCAAGGGCACCTTAAATACAACCCGTTGTGATGATGTCTTTTCCACAAAATCATCATCTCTTCTAGACTATTATTCTCCAAATCCAATCAGCAAATCAGGAATCTGAGAGTTGCCTTTAATTAACCTCTACATTCAGTTGACAAACGTCCTTTACTCTCTATCTCCGTTGCCGCTGCCTTGTATCAAGGCCCCCCAAATTTGTCTCTTGAACTGTTTCAACTTCTCCTCCATGCTTTTACCATTCTAATCCACCCTGCATAATCCTAGCAGAATGAGCTTTCTAAAATGTAAAGTTGATTTGTTATTCCCTCTACAAAGAAATTCCTCTGCTGACCAGATAAAATCCAAATCTATCCTGCAAAGCCCTAGTCTACCATCCAGCTTTGTCTCTCTTAACAACTCTCACTGTCTCCTATTTGGGCCACATAGAATTAAAATATGACACTGAAGTTTTACAACTTATTTTTTGCTGATAAGCAAACAAATTTAGTAGCAAAGGAGAAGAGAAGAGACCATCTCAGGCAAATTTCTATTCATTTTTTAAGATTTAGCTCAAGCATCACCTTCCTTTAAGAAGTCTTTCCTGACTCTCCACCCCAACCTCAAGCAAAATCAAGCAGGATCAACTAACCTGCAGTTGCACAATGGGGCAGCCAGTGTGGCCTTCTTTCACAGCACCTCCAACACTGTGCACTCATTCATTTATATAACTGTCCTCATTAGACGAAGAGCTTCCTTAAGGGCAGGAACTATGAAATTCATCTTTCTAGCTCTGCCCTTAGTACTCTTCCTGGCACATAACTGGTGTTTCATAAATTTTTGTAGCTTAATGAGCAGATTTTAAAATGACCACTTCTTACTTACCAAACTGAAACTGCTGGTTGTCCATGAGGCGAATAGATGCAGGAGCACATCTCTGTTTTAAGAAGAGCAAAAATGTGATGCAAATTTAATATGGTAAAAAAGCTAGACAGGTACATTTTCTGTATTTGAGATCAAGAGCTTAGTTCCTAAGAATATGTACAGAAAGTTAACTTTTTATGTAATTTTATGAAGACAAATAAAACATCAGTGGCTTCCACTAAATATTTGGAGAGGAGAAATCTACATACATAAAACATACATACATATGTAGCCAGATCTTTAATTTATCTGCAACAAAATCTGCTTAATGCCTAGCAAAGACCTATGGAAATATCTTTAAAACTACTAGGTCTTAAAGTGAATTATTTTAGAACAAAGTAGAAATTTTAAAGACTAAAATCAATGCCTACAGCATTATGTCATTTATAAACTATAATGTGTCATCAGGCTCTTATATTCTTTTAAACTAAGGATGATGAGAGTAGAATTTTTATGAACCAAAGCACTTTAAAAAACTATCTGTGATGTCTTCATTGATAAGTCTAGGAATTGTTCCTTCCTTTTGTCCCTTCTCATAATCTATTAAAACAAAACAAAATAAAACAAAAACACTATCAGACAGTGTCCAGAATTCCAAGATCTTTCAAGGTTATTTGTATGAAAACAGCAACAAAACTGTGAAGCATAAGATTATGTATCTAAAACATCTAAAACTGTACCAGTGTTATATTTATTTAGGTACATGATAAAAGCTGCAAAAAAAGAAAAACAAGAAAAGCAGATATTCTATTAATTTTGTAATGTTAAAATACTACAACACAAATACTAGCGAGATTTAAGTTAGCTACAATTTTTCCATAGAATTAAAGTGAGCTGCACCCTAAATGGGATTTTAATTTTCTATATAAATTTTTAACATGGTTAAATTGCTACCAAGAGGCTGCTTTCAGACCACAAAATTTTAACTAGTGTCATAAACTTTTAAAACATTTATCTTCAGAGTAATATCATTTATCAGTAAAACTTGTACTAACACAATGTTGAGATTATGAGAATCACTCAAAAGCATCAAACTTAATACACATCTTAACTGTGTTTTAACATTTTTGATATTATTTGCTTTTAATTGAACATAAAAATGTTTAAAACAACGAAACATATACATTTTCTTTCACCCTACAAAATAACTATTCAGATTATTATTCTGAATATTATACAACTTATTTACTCACCTCTGATACTAAAGGTGAGATAATTCAATTTATATTTTAAAAAGTCACCGACGAATTTAAAGAAAATATCACATAATTTTATATAAACAGCATAACAATAACCTATTGCCTTTATTTTACAGTATCCGATGTTTGTAAGCTGCTTTCATATGTCTTTATTAATATAAGAAACAGCCCTGTCAGGGTAGCAGAACTAGTATTATCCCCATTTTACAGGTGAGGACATAAGAACCAGAGAGGTTAAAAGACTTGTCAGAGGCTAGATGATTGTTAGATGAGCAACATTTCAAATATATCACACGGTGTCTTAAAAAAAACCACTTAAAACACATAGAAATATGTCCAGAGAGACAGAAAGAGACAGAGGCAGAGAATGTGCTAAAATCATATTTGAAACAAAAAAATACATGAAAACAATCTTACTTACTATTTCCTAATCTTATTAAAAGAATATATTTATAAAATATCTCCAATCTGAGCAATGTCAAATCTTGGTATAAACGTAGTTGGGTTAATGCTTCTAAAAATGTTATCGGTTTTGAAAACACTAAAGGAAAATCAATTTTCCTGAAATGTTTTTATTAAAATTGGGACACCACTTCTAATAAAATATATGAAGCCTGATTAGATTGTGTTTCTTTTCTTCATAAAATAAGTACAATATCATATAATATACATATTTATATGGTTTGGTTTAAGCATATCAGTAAACCATGAGAAAGAATTTAGAGCCATTCTGTCATTAGGGGGAAAAAAAACATTTTAAATTCTTACCAACAACTTGTAAATTCTATCTCCTACTGCCACCCAGATTCTACTTCACCTATATCTATAGCAGGTTGTTTTTTTTTTAAGTGGGGGAAAAAAAAAAACAGAATAGGCACACATACAACAGAAAATGGAAAAAAAAGTATATTATATTTAGTAAATTTCTAGCTGAATTCCATCTCTGAAACAATTAAAATACAATATACAGACCTTGATGAAATCTTGGTTTGAAAACATTACCCACAAAATACACTTGGGGACAACTAGAATAAACTGATTATAGAATGAGTATTAGATGACATTAAGAAATTACTGTTGATTTTCTTAGACATGATAACGGTATTGTGGTTATAGAGAACACCACCTTTATTTTTAGAAGTACTTAGAGGTCAAGTGTGATAATGTTTTCAACTTAATTTCAAATAGTCCAGAAAATATATACACAAGCATATTAAATGGAGCAAAAGGTTAATTGTTGAATATGCAAGATGGACATACAGGTGATCACCATACTATTCTTTCAAAGATTCTGTATGCTTAAAATCTACAAATGAAAGAGTTGGAAAAATAAGTAAGAAAACTTCAGGGCACTTGCTACATATAGCAACCAATATTCGATTATATTGAACATGATTTTAACTTGACAGCTGAGTCACAAAAACTAGTTAGTCATCCACTGTTCCTATTTATACTAAGGCAGAGTAGGTGGTTACAGAACTATACTATCAAAAAAGAATAAGACACTAAAGAAAGTTTTTGCATTTAGATAATAAATATTAAATTAGTTTTCAACACTTTTCAAAAATTATCAAAATCAAATCAATAGCTTTATTAAATCTCACATTTTTTAGAGCCACATTTTTTTAAAAGTCAGTAAAATGAAGTTTTTCAATTACTGTCAAAAGTAAATTCTCAGAGGTAAAGCACTCAAAAGATAGCAATACTCTGGCAATGGATAATTTGTAAATCATTGTGCATCATTCTAAAAATATAAAGCAAAAAAGTTTCTTAGAATTTTAAATTAAAAGTTGTCACAATGGAGCTAATTAAATAGACGTTCCTATAATCAAAAGACCAAAATAATGTTACTGTAATTTAAAAAACATTCTGGGTTACTATACATACAGCTAATCAAGATTATGTTTCAATTGCTATAAAACTAACTTGGTAGATTTTAAAAAAAAACTCAAAGTATTTCCTTTAAAGGTTAGAGATATCGAAAATTCTGAGAATCTGAACTCTAAATTCAGTCCTATGCTATTCAACTAGGCTACACTAAGAGTATCACAGATTAGGAAAGGGGAAAAGGGTCCTTGATTTAAAGTGACCCCTGGTGGTAGGTGATCAGAACTAACCTGAGAGAGAATATTTTTATCAAGTTTAATGGTGGGTTAATGATAGATTCAGGGAATTCAAGGAATTCAAACAAAAATTGCATACTTGAACTGAAGTTAATGAAATAATTGATTTCCTTCCTACTATAATAAATGTGCCCTTACTAGAATCTCTAGTATCACCTGAATTGTACCTAAAATGTACTTTATACTTAGTCTGAAAAGATATGAGAAACTCTTTATAAATAAAGAAATATCACTATCTGAGCAAAGATTCTTTATAAACTAATAAAGAAATATCACTATCTGAGCAAAGAAGAAATAAACCACACTGGCCTCAAAGCATGTGTATAAGACTAAGTCAAACGGCTGGCAATTTCTTCCCTGTAATAAAGCTACAACCAGGAATTTACTTGAACATAAAACCTAAAAAAAAAAAAACCAATCACTCTAATTAGTCTTATTTACCTAGTAAAATTCTCTGAACTAAGTTAAAAAGCAACAGATTTCTCAATTTAACTATTTTCTCCAAAAAACAGTCCCTATGAAAATCACATGAAAAAATTTCTGTAAAATTTGTTTTCATAGAGCCAAGTCATCTCTTTCTGGTCACAGAGAAAATTGGAACTTACACTTCAGATAAGATACATTATTCAAGAAGACATCCCTTAGTTTACTAGTTACTGGCAAATGAAATTCAATATTAACATATTTTAACTGTCTGCAGAATTTCTACTGTTCTAACTTCATAAGAATAAACTATAACATATAAATACTGAATGGTAGTACTACTTCTCTGGTATCTTGGTTAAGGAATGAATCTTTGAATTGAAAAGGTTTGTTTCTCCAAGTAGATTATACTTTCTGTGGAAATTCTAGAACAGCCCAAATTTCTGAGCCATAAACTATTCTGTAGATAGTCTACTAATCTCATACTGTACCAGAAGCCAGTGGTTCAAAGCCAAACCATTGTGTACAGCTACACAAAAATTTAAACACAGAAAATTTGTCTTAATAGGCAACATCCTTAGTAATCATTAGAAGACAGGAACCGTATCTATTTAACTTATATAATATCCAATGCACTGTTAGAGATAAAGTTAAGACCATAATATCTCATATAAAAGACACAAAATAAAAAAGTTCAAAAAAAGATGTGAGAGAATTTTGTTAAATGCAAATTTCTAGATATAAAACTTAAAATGTAGACAGAATCAGTCCTTCTTCTAATAAACCAGTATTGATATCACAGATCAAATCATATAATATTTAAGGCTATTGATATAACTGGTTAGTCTTACTGGAAATGACATACTGGCTTACAGCCAGGAGTCTACATTGTAAACAACAAGAACTATTTTTAACAAGAGAAATATCTCTTGGTTGTAAAGAATAAAATAATACGTATTATAGAGTAGATATTTCCCTCCACTTATATTAAGGGAAGGGCCAAAAGTTAAAGCCAAATAGTCTCCTAATCATAAATTTACGTTTTCAGTTTAGTAAAGGTGTAATGACTTGCACTGAGTAGCTCCTGGTCAAGAGCATGTCTTATAACTATCCTCAAGTTTAATACATTTTGCCATATTACAGAGTAAAGAATTCAATTAACCAAACATTTGGCTAGGTTATTCTCTCTGTTTCAGAAAGGGGAAAAGATATGATTACAAAAATGATTTAAAATAACAATTCCATTTTCTCTATGTAACAAATTATTTTTAAGAATTGCCACTGAATAGAAAGAAGTTTTAAATATTGTATAGTGTAAATGCAAAACCTAATTACTTTCAATTTATTTGAACCCCTCCAGAATAAATCCAGGTGAAAACAGAACAATTCAGAATTGAGATATGACATACTGAGATGTCAGACATGAACTATGTATTTCTTCCCAAATCGTGGTCTATATTCACTAGAAAAAAAAAACACCCTATCAGTTTAAAATTGTTTGTTTAAAGTAAAAGTGATGATATGTAGAAAGGGCCACACTTTGTTAAAAGGTAGTGAGAGAAAGCTGAAATTTAATCTATAATTCTAAAAACCTAGTTCTGATATTGAGAAATACAGTTTTCAGAGGGATGTATACTAATCTGTGCCATACATACAGTCAATGTTTCTTCTTAATGGAACAAATGTTCCTCTTTCTAATACCATAAGGCATAACTCCTAAGTGTTTATTGGGGGGAGAAAAAAACTCAAACTTCAAAAATTACTTTTGAGCTTGTTTCAACACTCGGTTTTCCTTTCAAGTCATTTTAAAAACAGTAAAAGAAATTATAAAATATTACATCTGACACCAATATTCTGATTAAAAAACATAATTTTCTCCCTCTTGAGAGGCTACAGTAGAAAATCTACTTTCTGAGACAGTCTTAAAAGTCACTTACCCATCTACTGAGTAAAGCTGGAAATTATACTGGACTGGCATTTATGAGATAGAATCACATTAATCTTCCACTAAATCTTCCTTTCTAGTTCCTCACAAAGTAGTGAAGTACTGAAAGAGGACAATGCCTCACATGGACAAAGATCAGATGAAGAGAGACCTTAGTAGAATCCTTCTGCTGTCAGTATAAGGTCGCTCAATTTATTTCCTTCAGTAAGAACAGCGATGAAAATAAAAGAGCCCATTTTGCTATTCGTGATCATGTATGCTCCTTTCCAAAAGATACTCATCCAAAATACAGTTTCTCATTTCAAAAGCAACTGGAGTCTGAAAATACTGCAAAAATGGAAGTGCTATGAAATGACAGTGAGGAATTACAAGCAGCCAACTCATTATTCAATCAGGAATTTGGCACAATCATAAAACATGTACCGTTGTCTATTTTAATGGATCTTAATTCCTCTGCTATCGGCTGAAAATCCAAATCGTAAATTGAACAATGACTAGTGCCAAAACCTAAAATTTTCTCAATTTTTCTGCCTGAGGATACTATTACAGAGTAGGGCAGTACATACAGTACCATTCTTGACATATGAGATTTGTACATTGTATAAACTAATATGTGAATATCCCTAAACCTTGCTAGCATTTACCCATTTCCAGGGAAGGCAAACATTCATGCCTCTCTACACGTGCATTATAATAGGAGTAAAATATGTAGGTTCCCCAAACAGTGAGATATCTCAATTGTTTCATTCATAAGAGCAATATTTGAGAATAAAATATTATCTAGGCTCTTAAATCAGTTTCAAAAAAGGCAAGCTTTCTAGTCACCTGGTATTTATCTCTAAAAATTGTCAATTATTAAGTACAAAGAACCTAATTATTAAAACTATAGATTAGAAAGTTTTGGGGTTTTTTTATATGCTTTTTAACCACAGGGTAGCACTTTCTATCAATCATCACCTTTATTTATTCCAAAGTAATTCAATATAGGTTTGTGTAGTGACTTTAGATTATGGTCATTGTGTGTGAATACCCAAAGAATTTTTAAAAACAAAAAAAGGGCAATTTTTACTGACTTATTCAAGGATGAAAGAAAATTTCACCCCTTGCTTTTCATTAGCACAAGTAATTCTCTATTACCTTCTATCAAGGGCATATTAAATTGTGACAAAAAAAAAAAAACTACATCAGATTGTACCAACTATTATGTTTAAATCCAATATTTTCAGTCAAAATTATAAATTTAAGATTTTAATACATTTGTACATTATTTCTCACTAATAAAACCTAAAATATATTTACATGTATTTAGAATGTGGAAGAGCAGATAGGGCATTCAGGAAAGCAAAAGATATGTTTATCTCTACTCCAAAGATCATATAACAACACTTTTTGAACCCATTTCCCATTTAGAAAAAAATGCAGCTCGCTGCCAGCGTTAATTTAACATCACACTTAGGAATGCTATGTTTTCTAGAATTTGACATTTTCAGTGATCAAGAATTACTATATTTTGTAAATGGAAATACCACTACTAAAAACCGAATGCTATAAATAGAATAATGTCATTTGTTTCCAAAGATTATTGATATACGAAAGCTGCTAAAATAATAAGAAGAATGAGATATTTCATGGCAAGTTTTGGGAGTAAGATTAGGACTGTAATCCGCAAGTTATCTCAGGGAGAACGCTGCAGCCGCAAGCACTACAGGTGAGTATTCTTGGGGCAAATGGGAGTTGACTACATCTGTTCTCCACTGAGTGGAGATTCTGTGCAGGAGCATAGACGATCATCGTAAACTGAATGTGACCTCATTAAGACCTTCTGTTGAAAATACATACAAATCAGACCAGTTTTATAAATTTTATAATTACTCTTTTAAATCTAATTTGGCATTTATGTTTATTTTGCTATAAAAAATGGAAGCAATAATGGTCAGTTGAAAAATGTCATTCAAACTTGGACAAGTGATAATATGAATGATATCTTTAATAATAAAGCTTTGGGGGTGGGGAATAGTCAAGCTTAATAAAGACAAAAAGAAAATAAAAATAAAAGTTCTTAATACAAAAAAATAAATCACAAAACAAAGTCAAAAAACTGGATAAAAAAATCACTCGTTAAGGAAGATTTGAAATTAACAAGAACATGTAATCTCTTCATTGAAAATGTTTGGTTTGGTTTTGATTTTTAATCGGTAAATCCATGGTTATTTTCTTAAACAAACAAAGAAAAAAATCCTAGCTTCCCATTTTTCTTAGTATTAACTTAATACCATAATCCTCTGCAAGTAATTCTTTTACTTCTTAATATCTGAGGTATCTTAAATTTGAAGTTACTTTCCTTGGCCTTTACGTGATGAAAAGTTTTACCAACAAGTATCAAAACTACTTGAACTTCACTGCTCAGTGCTCAGATATTCACTCCTAAAACTTATCCCTAATCCCTCTTTTACTCAATCATCCTGTTTTTAAATATTGCTGCCATCTCATTATTTTAGCAAACACAGCATAATACTATATATTTAGCTCCCTAACCACAACACAATATCCCCAAAGTTCTAGGGAATTAGAAGCTCTTATGTAAGGATGTCAACTGTTAACATTCATATCTACTTTAACTCCATCAAAGTAACCTGCCACAAGTTCAAGAGTGTTCATTCCAAGACTACACTTCTTTTTAAACTCTCCCCCTACCCAAGAGTAAGACAATCAAATTTAAGAAGCCTATGGCTAAGTTTTGATGAGAGAAGCAATCTAACTGATAAGTAGCTAAAACTACTTAAAATCTATAAGAATTATCCTTGTGAACTATTAGATTAGGTGATCATATAGCTGGACTTCCTAAAAGTCAGAAAGAATAAGTGTCTCAGAACAAAACTGAGCGTATGAAATAAAGAGAACCGGAAATGTAAGTATGTGGGTAAATATAACATTTTTTTGCCCATTTAAAATTTTTTTAAAACATTAATAGTGGTTCTCTTGAGATGGTGGGAAGATACAACTCTTCACCAATTCCATTTCAGTACTTGCAAAGTCCACAATGAATATGGAGTACTTGACAGATATAATTCCTTTGTCTTATCAGATCCTCCCTCCATACTGCTCTGGGTCACATCAGAAAGCTCCCTTGCCCTCAAGATTCTAGTCCAGTATAGCCGATGGAAGTATCAAAGAACTCCAGGAGTTCAGAGAAAGCAAGAAGAGGATGAAGTATATTCCCTTAACTGTCTTCCTGCTGGTAAATGTTGAAATAGGAATCTTTCACAAACTGCTGTAGTTCAAACGATGAACCAAAGGCTTAAAGAAATGAAAAAATTGCCACACAGAACTAAGCACAGAAATAAAATTATTTGGAATTATCTAGTCTTTTAAAAACCCTTGATAATATATTTTTTTAAGTAGGGAGGGGAAAATGGGAGTTCTCTATTATATTATGCTATTCTATATTATACTACTTAATTTAAGCTATAGCTTAGGTAATATTATAGAACATAGTTAGGCCTACTAGCAGCACATTCTAAAATCTGATAAAGTTTGATTCCTATACATAATGTCTAAATTTGGGGGCCACTGATATTCAGCCATTTAATTTCAGTAAATGTCTTAGGAAAAATTAAAGATTATTTTAATTAATCACAAAATATCCTACCCCAAAATAACTTAAGAAAACAATATTCAATAAAAGGCAGTTATTGGAAGTCATCAACCCAAGTATATATCTTACCTTGGCTTAAAATTGTACAGCACTCTTTAAACCAAAATATAGGTGTATAATTACTGAAAGAAATAGCAACTGCACTTAAAGAGATGATTTTACATTACCTTTTCATATAGGACTGGGTAAAAACCACAAATATAGCATAACTAAATATTAAGATTACATGTGACATAGCAAAATCAATTATACAGAATTTAAAAAATGTAAATATATATGAATGGGTTCTTTTCTTTTTACCTGTTTTGCAATTTCTCTTAAACAGGCTACTCCTTGTTCAAAATTAGGGAAAGCTACTGAGCCATACTTTTGGTATTCAGGGACTGGTCTGATTTTTATTGTAGCTTCTGTTATCACACCAAGAGTTCCTGAAAAAGAAGGGAGATAATCCAATATATCACAGGCCATTTTCTAAGTCACATTTAAATCTACTTTTCTATTTATTCAATTTGTTGTAGTATTCATATTTAAGTCTATTTAATCTATTCTGTGTGAGAACAATGACTACTCAAGTTTTTCTAAAAAAACTACTAAGAAAATTTTATAATTCCTAAAAAAAGTTTTTAGAATATATTTTTCTTAGTTATGTATATATCTATTAAAACATTTTTAAGGTAAACTTTCTCCAAGAAGGTTACTTTTAAATAGTCTTAAACGTATTACAACTTATTAAAAGAAAAATAAATATTTGAAAAACAACAGGTTTTTACATCCCATATGCATTTAGACAAAAGTATCTTTTGATATGTGTGCCTATTTTTACTGTAAGAACAATTTATTGGGGCAAAAAGAACCTAACCTCCCATGAGAACTTAAGAAGATAGAAGAATGATTAGAGGTAATATTTACACTTTGCCTTTTTTTCTCTAAGAATTCATACAAATATATGACAAATGCAATGCTGAGATGGCCTTGTAAGAAACAAGTAAACAGGTATTTCAAACACAAAAGTTATCACAAATATATAGCACAAGAGGACTATCAATGAAACAAAGATTTTTTCTTTATTACATTGAGTAGTGGGGGACAAATTGGAGAGGGAAAAAAACAAGTTAAATATAACTATGTGATCTAAATATCTATGCTAAAATTTTAAAGAGACATGGTTAAAAATTGTATTTACGAGCCAACCTTTTCAAATCAGTGGTTTCTGATGTACAAACGGTAGAAATTATTATTAGTAGTAAAAACTTTCTGAGAATCATTAAAAAAACAGAGGGCAATCTTTGAAATTTTAGAACTTAATTACAAAACTAGAAAAAAAAAGTATCACATAAAATCAAAGCTTTCAATAAATTTATAACATACCTAAAATATAATGTCAATATATAATAACCAGATTAAAAACTATGGAGTCCATAAAAAGTAAATTATATCAGATCGCAATACATTCATCACATATACAAATGATTTCCTACTAAGAAATCAAATATGACCCTATTACGACTTGTAAAATCACAAAAACTCTATAAGTTTGGCCCAATTAATATCTGAATAAAAACAGATATAACTTATACATTTTTAAAGATAACAAAAGCAACTAGACTTTCTTTTTTTTTAGCATCTTTGTTGAGATATAATTCACGGACCATAAAATTTATTCATTTAAAGTATTAAACTCAGTAGATTTTAGTGTGTTCACAGATATATGCAACTATCACTACAATTTAAGTTTAGAACTTTTCATCATACACAAAAAGAAATCCTGTATCCACAGAACAGTCGTTCCCCACCCAGCACCCCCACCTCAGCCCTAAACAACCACCAATCTATTTTCTGTCTCTATAAATCTGCCTTTTCTGGACACTGCATATAAATAGAATCTCAAAATATATGGTCTTTTGTGACTGGCTTCTCTCACTTAGAAAATGTTCCCAAGGTTTGTTCATGTTATAGCCTGTATTAAGTACTTCATTCTTTTTTAATTGCTACCCTATTATTCTATCGTATGGTATAACTCATTTTTGTTTATCCATTCATCAGTTGATGGACATTTGGGGTTCTACTTTTTCTTTTTCACTAGATTACCAGTTTATTATAAAGAATACAATTCCGGAACAGCCAGATAGAAGAGATGCATAGGACAAAGTATGGGAGAAGGTGTGCAGTTTCCATGCTCTCTCCAGAGACAACACCCTCCCATCACCTCCATGTGTTCACCAACTGGGAAGCTCTCTAAAACTCATACTTTAGGAATTTTAAAGGAGGTTTCATTACATAAGCATGATCGATTATACCACTGGCCACTGGTGATTAATTCAACATTCAGCCTCTCTCCCCTCCCCAGAGGTCAGAGAGTAAGGCTGAAAGTTCCACAGGTTTCCACTTTTTGGCTGCTATGACTGCTACTATAAATATATGTGTACAAGTTTTGTGTAGACATGTGCTCTCTTTTCTCTTGGATGTATACATGAAGATTTTCTTAATTTCAGAAAAACCTTTGATTTTATCCATGTAACATCTGGCCCTCAGCTACCTTTAATTGAGGCTAATTCCCTCCTCTCCCCAGCCAAGAGGTGCAGGGGCTCACTTCTTGCACCCAGCCTTAACTGGTGGGACAGAGTCTCTACTTTGAGTAGTACACTAATCCTAGGGTCATAATTGCTCTTATCCTGGTTTGTAAAGAGCTGGTATTTTGCCAGGAGAAACAAACCGAAAAGACCTACTTTCCTTCTCCTTCCCCCAGCACTCGACTCCTAAAGCAGGAGTGTCCTCAGAGAAAAGCATGCCATTGTCCCCACCCCTACCTCCAGAGCCATGGCTCAAAGATTTTGTCTGAGGGGAGAAATAAGCTATAAAACAGCTCCTAATCCTTTCCCAAAAGAAAGTATTTTATTTGCAATAGAGCATGGAGATGTTCAAGCCTAAGAACACTTTCTAAAATAGCAGAGAATGTGGTAAAAAGCAATTGAGAGGACGTAGATAAATTTATTAGTGACGTAGGCAAAACTGTAGACCAGCTAGTTTGCCTGGGTAGAAACAGTGGGGATACTGGAAGTCCTAACTAGAGCAATCAGGAGAGGAAACAAAAAGGCATCAAAATTAGAAAGGAAGGAGTAAAACTGTCTCTATTTGCAGATGACATAGTTATATACAGAAAATCCTGAAGACTCGACAACAAAAGAAACTGTTAGAATTAATCAATGAATTTAGTAAAGTTACAAGATACGAAATTAACATACAAAAATCGGTAGCATTTTTATACCTTAAAAATAAATTTTCTGAAAAAAAAAATTGATCCCATTTATAAAAACATCAAAAACAAAATACTTAGGAATAAATTTAACCAAGGAGGTCAAAGTTCTCTGCTCTGAAAATGACAAACCATTGATGAAAGAAGTCAAAGACACAAATACAATAAGACACAAATCCCATGTTCATGGGTTGGAAGAACTAATATTGTTAAAATGTTAATACTAGCAAAAGCTATCTATAGATTCAACGTAGCCCCTATCAAGATTCCAATGGCATTTTTCACGGAAACAGAAAAAACACTCCTAAAATATGTGGTGATGGGAACCACAAAAGACTCTGAATAGCCAAAGAAATCCTCAGCCAGAGGTATCACACTTCCTGATTTCAAGCAGTACTATAAAGCTACAGTCTGGTACTGGCATTACAACAGACAAGCAGGCCAGTGGAATAGAATCGAGAGCCCAGAAATAATCCCACATCAATACAGTAAACTAATATTTGACAAAGGAACCCAGAACATCCAATGAAGAACAGTCTCTTTAATAAATGGTTTTCATCTTAAAAGAATGAAACTTGACCCCGCCACATACCATTCACAAAAATGAACTCAAAATGAATTAAAGATTTAAATGTAAGACCTGAAACCATGAAACTCTTAGAAAAAAATACAGGAAAAGTCTCCTTTACATGAATCTTGGTAACGGTATTTTGGAAATCAGACCTTAATACAAGCAACAAAATCAAAACAAGTGGGGCTACATCAAACTAAAAAGCTTCTGCACAGCAAGCGACACCATCAAAAACGTGAAAAGACAATCTATAGAATGGGAAAAAATATTTGCAAACCAAGTATCTGATAAGGGATTAATTTTCAAAATACATAAAAATCTCATTGTCCATTGTTGGATGAATAAATAAGTTGGGGTACATATATGTGTATGTACATACACATACACACATATGTACATACACACAATGGAATATTATTCAGCCATAAAAATTGAGGAAATCCTATTATTTGTGACAACTTGTATGGACTTGGAAGGCATTCTGCTAAGTGAAATAAGTCAGATAAAGACAAATACTGTATGATCTCACTGATATGTGGAATCTAATAAAACAAAAACAATAAAATACACCAAACACAGAAAAAGAAATCAGACTGTGGTTACCAGAGCGGGGCGTGGGGAGAGGAGGAATTTGAGGAAGGTGGTCAAAAGGTACAAACTTCCAGTTAAGATAAATAAGTACTAGGAATGTAATGTACAACATGATGACTATACCTAACACTGCTGTGTGACGTATAGGAAAGTTAAGAGAAGAAATCCTAAGAGTTCTCATCACAAGAAGAAATTTTTTTTTCTTTTTATTTTATCTATATGAGATGATGGATGTTGACTAAACCTGTCTGTGGTAATCATTTCACAATATATGTAAATCAAACCATCATGCTGAACACTTTATACAGTGATGCATGTCAATTATTTCTCAATAAAACTGGGAGAAAAAGAAACAGTGAGGAGGACACTGCCTAGCCTCGGAAAAAAATCTCGAACACTAACCTCGGGAATTATCACTTCTAAGAGATACACTTTAAGTGAATTTTATGGCATGTGAACTATATATCTCAATAAAGCTGCCCCCCCCAAAGGAATAACCAATATAAATTATTTAATTCTCAGAATTAATTACAAAGAAAACTTCAGAGTTAACATCTTAAATAGCTGATTAGTAGCTAAAACTACTTAAAATTTATAAAAATTATCCTTGTGAACTATTAGATTAGGTGATCATATAGCTGGACTTCCTAAAAGTCAGAAAGAATAAGTGCCTCAGAAAACAAAACTGAATGTATGAAATAAAGAGAACTGGAAATGTAAGCATGAGGATAAATATAACATTTTTTGGGGTCACATCAGAAAGCTCTCTTGCCCTCGAGATTCTAGTCCAGTATAGGTCAGTATGAGCTTTGATTTTAGACAGGAAAACTATCTTTCAAAAAATTCCAAGCTCTCAACTTTTTATGAAATGTTTCTTTGCATCTGAAAATAAAGCCATGAGAAAATATTTTTTTGAATTACAGCATATAATATAATCCAATCTAAATTTAATCTAAAGAAAAATTAGAAACCATTTAAATGACAAACAATGAGGCCCTGGTTAAATAACACAT